AAACCATTTCAGGTGACTACCTCTTGAAGCTCATGGAGAGAATGCCAAGAGTGTGCAAAGCAGTAATCAGAGCAAAGGGTGGCTATTTTGAAGAAACTAGAATATAAAACATGTTTTCAGTTATTTCACCTTTTTTTGTTAAGTACATAACTCCACATGTGTTCATTCATAGTTTTGACGCCTTCAGTGAGAATCTACAATGTAAATAGTCATGAAAATAAAGAAAACGCATTGAATGAGAAGGTGTGTCCAAACTTTTGGCCTGTACTGTATATATATTAACCAACGTACCATGTTTACATTTATATATATTAACCAACGTGACCATGTTTATATTTGTATATATTAACCAATGTACCAGGTTTATATTTGTATATATTAACCAAAGTACCATGTTTATATTTATATATATTAACCAATGTACCATGTTTATATTTGTATATATTAACCAAAGTACCATGTTTATATTTATATATATTAACCAATGTACTATGTTTATATTTATATATATTAACCAACGTACCATGTTTATATTTATATATATATTAACCAACATGACCATGTTTATATTTGTATATATTAACCAAAGTACCATGTTCATATTTATATATATTAACCAACATACTATGTTTATATTTATATATATTAACCAAAGTACCATGTTTATATTTGTATATATTAACCAATGTACCATGTTTATATTTGTATATATATTAACCAATGTACCATGTTTATATTTGTATATATTAACCAACGTACCATGTTTATATTTATATATATTAACCAACGTACCATGTTTATATTTATATATATTAACCAAAGTACCATGTTTATATTTGTATATATTAACCAACGTGACCATGTTTATATTTATATATATTAACCAACGTACCATGTTTATATTTATATATATTAACCAACGTGACCATGTTTATATTTGTATATATTAACCAACGTGACCATGTTTATAACATTGGTTAGTATTAAACAAATATAAACATGTATAAATATAAAGGTTGTTTATACTCACACATGTTGAGCTGTCGGATGAAACTCGCCATGTTGTTGTGTTTGAAGAACTTTGGTAAAACTTCTTTAGAGAATCGACCCTGATCGAACACATGGAAACTGGTTCCACTCTGAAACACATAGAACATTCAGAGAACATTCAGAGAACGCTCAGAGAACACTCAAAGAACATTCAGAGAACACTGAGAGAGCATTCAGAGAACACTGAGAGAACACTCAGAACATTCAGAGAACACTGAGAGAACACTCAGAGAACACTGAGAGAGCATTCAGAGAACACTGAGAGAGCATTCAGAGAACACTAAAAGAAAACTCAGAGAACACTCAAAGAACATTCAGAGAACACTGAGAGAACACTCAGAGAACACTCAGAGAACACTCAGAGAACATTCAGAGAACACTCAGAGAACATTCAGAGAACACTCACACTAACTGGTGTCAAACTGTATCTAACTGGTGTCAAACTGGATCTACCTGGTGTCTGACTGGATCAGGGCCCGTATTCACAAAGAATCCTAAGACTAAGAGTAGCTCTTAGTGACGTCATTCTAAGAAAAATCTTAGAATTCCTCAGATTCTAAGATTTTTCTTAGAATTTTCCCTTGGTAAGATAAAAGTTATTCACAAAGCATCTTAGGCCTTAAGAGAGCTCCTAAAGTGAAAAACTGTTAAGAGGAGGGAGGAGGACTTTTAAGAAGCCTAAGAGAGTCTTAAACAGAGAAGATGGCGGAAAGACAGAGAGGAAGGAGAGATATTCTCCGTATATTGAACGACAGTGATTTAATAAGACGCTACCGGCTTGATCATGCAGGGATAATGTTTGTGGTTGACCTCATCAGGGATGAGCTTACTTTTCCCACCCAGTGTAGAAACGCAATAACGCCTGCTTTGGATTGCAGCACGTACCAGCGCTTCTCACACTCATCGCTTGTGCGTAAAAGGAGAGGGAACGACGCATTGATTTGTCGGGCCTTGTGCCGTGATCCCGGGACCGAATTTCCCTCTTAAAACTCATTTGTTCTCCTCCATGAGCTGTGCCAACAGCAGGCACTGCTCTTCTGTCCAGTTCGGTTTTCTCATTATTTTTTTCTCCATTTCATTCGTTGTTTTGGTCATTCTGCCAAATCAAACCGCTTTTTACAAGGAGGCCAGCAAACACAGTAACTGCTGACAGCTGAGTCTGCGTCCACCATTAATATCAAATAGATTAAGTAGTAAAATTACCAGCATGGCGAGTAAACATAACAATAAGCAAATTAATATAATAATCGGCATGTGAATGAGGTACGTTCAAACATTTTGAAGCTGTGTAACAATTAATTTAATTTTGCTGAGTTTCATCATCATGACATGAAATTATTTTCACGATTACACATTTCTTAATACAGTCTACGTTCTATGATCGGTTCATTTCACTGTCCATTCATTACTAGGAGCGCATTTTTTTTTTTCTTCTTTTTTTCCTTTTTGTAACAACCAATCACAGCTTTTAAAAGACTGCGTCAACCACACCTCCTCACTAAGATAAAAGTTTCTGTCCCCTCCTTGCTCAGAGTTGCTCTCAGAAACTTCCTGAATCACTCTTAAACTAAGATTCCTTGCTAGGAAGTTTTAGGCTAAGTTAGGAGCTCTCTGAGAGGACTCTGAGAATCTTTGTGAATACGGACACTGGTGTCTAACTGAATCTAACTGGTGTCCGACTGAATCTAACTGGTGTCTAACTAATCTAACTGGTGTCTAACTGAATCTAACCGAATCTAACTGGTGTCTAACTGAATCTAACTGGTGTCTGACTGAATCTAACTGGTGTCTAACTAATCTAACTGGTGTCTAACTGAATCTAACTGGTGTCTGACTGAATCTAACTGGTGTCTAACTGAATCTAACTGGTGTCAAACTGAATCTAACTGGTGTCTAACTGGATCTAACTGGTGTCAAACTGGATCTAAATGGTGTCTAACTGGATCTAACTGGTGTCAAACTGGTCTTCTCTATAAATCAACTGTCCTCTGTGGGACTCAACCTGCTAACTGTGCTAAGCTAAGGTACGCTAAGATAATGTGCTCACCGGGCTCCAGCAGATGAGCGGGTCGGTGTCCGGGTCCTCCACCAGGGTCCACAGTTTGGTGAGGAAGGCCGGGACGTTACCGCCGCCCAGCACCGCACCCCCTCCTCCACCGGGATACTCCATCGGTGAGACACAAATCAAACACACACCGCTAATCGGAGCTAACGATGCTAACAGTTAGCTGTAGAGCCAAACAAAGTGCGCCACGGGTCCGGACTGCGGTCTGATCGTGGTCACACAGGACTGGTCCGGGTCCTGAACTCTGCCGGTCTCTGCTGGTCCTCAGATGGTCCGTTATAACCGGGTTATATTCAACTAAAAACCAAAAACACAAGAAATCTAACCACTCAGACAACTGCGTAACGAGATTGCTGTCGCATCCGTGATGACGTAGTGGTAGCAACGAAGCGTCAACGTCCTGTCGCGTAGTGACGTCAGCAGGTGTAATCTGGATTATTTCATTTAGAGAGTATTTTTAGTTTCAGGAGGAGGAACAGGCGCGTCACCAGACACTTTTCACTGGGGCACGTGCCTCGGTCAACACGCGCTGTGCACCTGTAAAAAGTCCCAGTCAAATTTCATAAATAAACCTTTTTTTACTGAATATCCGCAGGACTCCACTGTGACTGATGTGTCGAGGAAGAAGAGCATGGGCACAATTTCTTCCTACTTCAGCCAGTAGTGATGGGAATTCCGGCTCTTTTTAGAGAGCCGGTTCTTTCGGTTCCCAAGTGGCTCCTCAGATTTTTGTTGCTTAAATTAATTTATTTTCAACAATAATGTAAAATAAATTACTAATGTAAAGAAAATACATTATATCAAATGTTTATTACTTATATGGCTTTATATACTCTACAGAGCGCTACAAAAATAAATTATAAAGTACAAAAAACTTTTAATTATTTTAAACTTTTAGCTTTTTACTATTAAACATTTGACTATCCTAAACTTGTAACTATTTACAGTGAAACAACATAGAGAAGTTCACAGAATCACACAACAGAATATAACTAAAGCTGCAGCAGCAGTTGCAGTAGACACACTGGCACCTTCATTAATAATAGCAGGTTCGCTTGCTTGTCTTTTTTCTTCCAATTGCACTGATGGATGAACAGTTCTCATGTGCTTGTGCAGGTTGTTTGGAAATGAGATTTTAATCTTGCAGACTCTACACTCTGCCCTTGTATTGTCAATGTAATTGAAATCTGAACTGAAACTCTGTCTGTCTCTGTCTCTGTCTGTCTCTGTCCCTGTCTGTCTCTGTCTGTCTGTCTGTCCCTGTCTGTCTCTCTGTCTCTGTCTGTCTCTGTCTCTGTCTCTGTCTGTCTCTGTCTCTGTCCCTGTCTGTCTCTGTCTGTCTGTCTGTCCCTGTCTGTCTCTCTGTCTCTGTCTGTTTCTGTCTCTGTCTGTCTCTGTCTCTGTCTCTCTCTCTCTCTCTGTCTCTCTCTGTCTCATTCTGTCACACAGATTACTGTTAATTTATTATGCTGATCTGTTCTGTACGACATCTATTGCACGTCTGTCCGTCCTGGAAGAGGGATCCCTCCTCAGTTGCTCTTCCTGAGGTTTCTACTATTGTTTTCCTGATCAGCTGTGAGGGTCATAAGGACAGAGGGATGTCGTATGCTGTAAAGCCCTGTGAGGCAAATTGTGATTTGTGATATTGGGCTTTATAAATAAAATTGAATTGAAAATTGAATTGAATTGTGTAGGCTAGTTTAAGAAGCTACCCAATGGGTGCGTGGCGTCAGTCTGACCACCCAATGGTTCGACTACCCATTAGTTCAGCCTCCCAAAAATCTGACCACAGTAAAGTTACATTTCAGGGGGGACCAGGCAACTTCCCCCTTTCAGTAAACACAGAGCAGCGGTACCACTGAACAGCTGCAATGTCTCTATGGCGGACTGTGAGGACAGTTGCGTTTATCTCATCAACGGGAAATCACATCATTTGCTATATGTGACGTACATGCCCTTATTTGGAAAACACATCCTGGTATTCCCCACACACGGGAAGATGTTTTAAGTAGCGGGGGCTGCCAACTGAATGAATGAATGAGTGACATCATTGTATTTTTTTTCCTGCTGTATAGCACATCACACATTGCCACTTACTAAGTTCTAACAAATGCAAATTTTATTAATTTTTTTTCCATAAGGAGGCCAACAGTAGAATTCACCACATGACAAAAGCAGACGAGAACTACCGTAGTTTGAGCGAAGATGTCCCCGAGCGCTGTCCTTGGTGCTGAAGATGTCCCCGAGCCTGTTACAGGCAGCGGTTATAACAAAATCACTTTAAGCGCTGTCCTTGGTGCTCCAAAACTCCAAAACTCACTACCTCCGACATGGCGAACCAAGACAGTGTACATAGATAAAAAACAACATCAGCAGAAAACAGAAGTCCTGCAAACCAACAGCAAGCGGCGATCACCATGGCCAAATAACGTTGCATGTCTGTAATAAAGAAATTCAATTCAATTCAATTCAATTTTATTTATAAAGCCCAATATCACAAATCACAATTTGCCTCACAGGGCTTTACAGCATACGACATCCCTCTGTCCTTAAGACCCTCACAGCGGATAAGGAAAAACTCCCCAAAAAAAAAAACCCTTTAACGGGGAAAAAAAAAACGGTAGAAACCTCAGGAAGAGCAACTGAGGAGGGATCCCTCTTCCAGGACGGACAGACGTGCAATAGATGTCGTACAGAACAGATCAGCATAATAAATTAACAGTAATCCATATGACACAATGAGACAGAGAGAGAGAGAGAGAGAGAGA